AGAAGTTTTAAACATTTGATCAATTAGTTAAACATTAAAATTCCAAATATAAATGTATCATTGAATAGTTTAGACTTACAGACTGCTAGTGGCAGTTAAAAAAGTTCTTAATTTAAAACAATAAAAGAAGTTTTAAAAATTTGATCAATTAGTTAAAAATTAAAATTCCAAATATAAATGTATCATTTAATAGTTTAGACTTATAGACTGCTGGTGGCAGCAAATGATTTACAATAATAAATATATACAAAAAGTATCTACAAATGAGAGTACTGTTATACATGAGCAGTGACCTGGTGAAACATACCAATCATACAGATAAATCAGTCTAATTCGTGAAAAGGGAAATTTGGTGATAAAAATTTGAGGATTAACTCAAATATTTACAATAAATGAAGTACTAATTCTGTTCCTCAAGTCCCATAGGGATAAAGAGACCTACATGACATATGCCACGCTTTTTTTTTTGGCCAGGCTAATTCATGTCAACAAAAAATAAAAGATTCACCATTACAGCATGCTTGGTGGGTTCCTACTTAAAACTATAAATGATGTAATTATAGTACATTATCAGTACTGCCCTCTGCCTGTGGCTTTACCTACACTCATTTCTTTCATAACTGACGTACCTGGATCATTTTAACGTACTTCAAGTTTTTGCAGACTGACGGTAGGTTTCATTTCCTGAAGCTGTTTTAGGACAAGCTCAGTGCAATCTTTAAGAGTCTTGTCTAAAACAATTTTTACATTATCACTGCACTGAAGCTGTGATGGATTGGCAAACTGTACAAAAATTTCACTTTCTTTCCAGGAACAAATATGATTTGCAATAGTCACAGCAGTCTTATCAGTATTTTTTCTTGAATTTGAATGGGATCCTCTTTTAGTTCCACTATTTGTGTGGTCTTTGTCAGTATTCTTCTTCTGTTGCACTGCAGGCTCTTCAAGACACTTCAGAAAGGATGCTTCAAATCCCGTTGGTTTAAAAGAGCTCCAGTCAAAAGATGCAGGATGCTCCTCAGTGGTTTGAATTGCAACAGCAGTTTCTTCCTCTTTACGCAAGCTATTTATCTCAACTGTTAATTCTGGTTCAACCTTTTCAACTTTCCTTTTTTTACATTGTGAGAGGTTTTTTTCTTTATTAACTCTCTTCAAATTAATTGCTTTTTGTCTTTCTGACTGGCAGGGATTACTTTCCTGAAAATCATTATTTATGTTTGAGGCGGTATTACCTTGGGTTTCCATACTTGTGCTATCTTCATTTATTAGTTTTGTAATAAATAATTCTGTTAGTTCATCCATTTCATCTTTTTCATTTTTTTCAACTTCCTTCTGTGGAACAGTAGTTGTTCTGGAGTTATCATTGTTCTCTGATATACATGTGTCAGAAGCTTTCACGTCCTTCTTGTCACCTCCTTGCTCAGAAGTTTCTTTTACTTCCAAGTTGTCACACCGTTTGAAGACAATAAGAAGATTGCGGTGTTGTGATGTAAATGCCTTAGATAATTTATGGCATTTATAATGTCTAATTATATTGCTTTCACTTGTAACAACTGAAGTACATCCCTTTATCTTACATGGATAGTGGGTTACAAATCTGCTTGTACATTCAGACAAGGCATCATTTCTTGCCTTTATAGAATATACATGCTTTCCTCGTTTCAGAGAATAAGGTTTGTTTTCTTCAATCTGTACAATCTTTGCATTCTTGTTTTCTAAAGTTTTTTTCTTTCGTTTGGTTGCAGGCATTTTGATTCCTTCCTTTCCAGTTCTACTGTGTTTTGTTCCCCGTTGCTTAGATTTTGACTTTTCTTGGTTTGCTTTGCTTGATATATTTTTCTGACCAGGTGTTAATTTTCTTGGCCGAATCAAATGAGCTTTATGTTTGTCATTATGTTTATTGAAAATGTGTCGGAGGAGGTTAGATCGAGTTGCATATATCCGATCACAACCTTCACAATCACATTTGTATATGCCATCTTCTTCTGTTTTACTTGCTCTTGCTCCAATTCCACGGTCTGCCTCAAGATGAACGATATAGTTCAAATATGTTGTAAATGAAGACTTACACTCCAATTGGTCACATGGAAATTTGCCAACATCAACAGAAGCAGTCATACTTTCAATTTCCTCAGGAGTCATTTCATGAAGTTTCATGTAGTGTTGTATTAGTCCAGTAATTGCTTGGAAAATTCGAGAACAGTCACTCACCTGACACCGAAATTCTTTCATTGTTTGTTTAGTTTCAGTTTCTTTACTTTCTTTCCCAACTTCACTCTCCTCTTCAACCTCTGCGGAAAATGCATGAAGATCTGATTTGTGTACAGCCTGGTAATGAAGAATTAAGTTTTGCTGTACTGTAAAGGCAGCAAAACACCCTTGGTAAACACAACGGTAAGGTCTATAGGGACTATATCTTGTTGGAAATTCAAGGGATTGGGAAACTGGCTTCTTTCGTTTTTTCTCCTCCTTTTCTTTTTTATGCTTCCTAATTTTTCGTCCTTTGCTTTGGATGTCTGTGGGAGAATCTGTATTACACTGCTCAGAAGTAACTACAATTAGTTGTGAAGAACTTTCTGTTTTTTCAGGACTTTCTTTTTCCAAAAGTTGTTTTTCTGGGACCACTGCTACATTACTGAGGGCATTTTCTGTCTCTCCTCCCAAAAGTAAAGTAGGTTGTAATTCCCTTTTAGTTTCCTCTGTCACAGCTGGCTGTTTTTTCACTTGCATAATTCGTGAGGTTGACAAATTTTCATTCTGAGACTTTCTTCCATAAGGCCTTTTTATTTTTAACTTTACCATTTCTTCTGTTGTAAAATGATGTACCAACTGACAGTGTGCCCGGAGGTTAGAATTTCTTGTAAATGCTTTTGTACATGTAGGAACTACACATTTAAATGGAGCAAATTTCAACTGCTTCTTCTTAATTTCAAGAATCATTTCTGGAGTGTATTGGTGGATTTTACCATAGTGCTTAAAGAGAGCGTCCTTTGTCATAGCACTGTAGTTACAGCCTTGGTTTTGACACACAAACGGTTTATTAACTTTGTCACTAAATGGAACATGTACCATTTCAGAAACTGGCTGAACAACTGTGATATTTGGAATTGGTTTAACAGGAGGACTCAGTGTCACTGATGTATTTATTAGTATACACTGGGACACTGGAGTGGATAGGTCGTTTTCTAATTTTAATTTTTGTAAACCTTCTAAAATTTCTTGTATTTGATCTTCCTCATGTAATACTTCAGACTGAGGAATGTTACTTTTTGTTGGCATGACACTTAAAGAGGAAAACTGAGATGAATCAGGTAATTTGTTATTTTGAACAGAGTTTACTGAAGGAAGCTGAACATTATAATTTATCTGAGTATTCTGTGATGTTTCACCAGCACCCTCAGAGCCACTTTTTACCTCAAGTATCTGAGAATTCATAGCAGTTTTAATAATTTCAAGAGTCTTTTCAATGTTATGTATAACATTATCTTCAGAAATCTGCAAATCAGAATTCACTGAAGTTGTACATGAATTCAAAGCCATCATCTGGGAATCACCATTTTCAGTTTTTAATGTTAAAGAGGGTAACACTGTATGGGAATCGAGATTGCTTTTGAAGTTCTCTTTTGCATCAGTCATAAACAACTGATTGTCAACATTATTTAATTTCTGTGTTATATTCTCCACCAAACCCTGAGGTTCACAATTTGGAATTACATTTGAATGGAGGTTAGTAGTAGGAATCTCAATATTCTTTGTTACAAGTCCCATTGTTGTTACATCACTTGGTACCAAGTTTTGGGATGCATTAGGTGCAATTAGTGGAGGAGTAACTTTCTTTCTTTTCTTAGAAACACTGTTTCCCTTTTTATTTAAATGATTAGATCTTGTGTTCTGAGGACCACTTATAACAGAAACACGTGGACTGTTACTGGTAAAATTCTGTGATAGCCCAGTAGAATTAGTGAATGAAGTAGCACACAAACCATTTTCAACAGTTTTCAGTAGTAAGTCATTTGCTGGAAAAACAGGCAAACTGCTACATTTCTCAATGATGGAAGTTTTGGAATTTGGTGTCCTGTTCTGGTTTGTCAGCAGGGTGTCTGGGTGGCATACAGTCTGCAGTAAGGGCGAAACAGTTGGATTTGTCATCACTGTTGCATTTACTTGTGCTGAATCTGAGACACAACCTGTGGGAACAACCTGAGAAAGCATTTCAGCACCCTCAAAAGTACTAGGAATGCCAGCAGTTTCCAAAGCCTGCTTAATAATTTCACTTCCTTCTTGACTAATGCTGGTATTAAAGTTATTCATACCAGACCGAGAAAATGTATTTGGTAAAAATGTTGATGGGCGATTTTCAGCAGCGAGAAGCTGTAAGAATGATGGATCTTTAAAGCATGCTTCTGGGTTGAAGGTAGATTGCTGTGGTTGCTGCAAATTTACTGCGTTTGTGGAGAGAATCATACTGGCAAGAAGAGAAGGCTGTCCATTATTTTGCAAAAGTTCTTGAGCAATTTCTGCTCCATCCAGTGGTTTACAGTAAGATCGCTTAGATAAGTGTCCACCCAGTGACCTGGGATTAGTAAAAGCCCTGTAACATCTGCTACAGATAAATTTCCCATCTCTGATAATTGCAGGCCATTTAGCCCTTTTGTTGTGCTTGGGTTTTCTTTCTTTCCCATTTGGGCCTCGCCCACGGTCTTTTTTTACTTTTTCCGGGGCAGACTCTTGGGCACTGGTGCTACTGAAGTCATTTGCAACATTCACTTGTGAAGGAAAAACTGCGTTTTCACCATTACTCCCCTTTAGAAAGGGAGAATTAGTGTTTCCTTCAACCTGTGAGGAATAATGATTTGTACTATTTTCCAGTTGAGAAAAAACAGAATTAGTCCCACTGTCTGCTGGTGAAGGGAAGAGAGACATTGAATTACTTTCTGCAGGTAAAGGAAGGAAAGGATCTGAGCCACTGTCAATATTCAAAGGCAAAACCGTTTTGGTTATATCTTCCATTTGTGCTGGCAAGGTAGTATTAGGTAAATTTTCTATTTGAGAACATAACATACCACCTTGTTCATTTTTATCCTGAGAAGGTATATTTGGATTTATGACAGTATCCATTGAGGGCAATAGTGGAGTTGACACACTTGCTAAATGAGCTGGAAAAATGGAAGGTGAGACATGCTGCAACTGGGTTGAACAAGCAAGATTCCCACTGGCTTTGGTCTGTGGTGTAAAAAATGCATTATTAGAGCTGCTCACCTGTGATGGCAAAAAATAAACCAATTTTGCATTATTTGGTGTATTTAAGTTGTTAGATTTCTGACCTTTTTTACTTTTGCGCTGCACCTTAAATGCAGCATATTGATCAGGGTGTGCTGTCTTCATGTGTTTCCCAATACTTTGAGAAGAATTATAGGTTCGAGTACATCCTTCAACTTGGCAGCTGAATTTCTGAGCTGGAGCTTTTGGAGGCACTGATGGAGTTCCTAATGAACTACTTAGGTTAGGCTGTGAAGGAACAAATGTGATACTTTCTAATGTCTTTAGAGGTAAATTATAAAGACTGGATGATACTTTAACATTATTTCCACATTCATACTTGGAAGCTGGTAAACTGTTTTGAAATTCTGCATCACTTTGCACAGAAAAGGTCATCAGACTGTTCACGTGTCCTAAGTTTTGTGGGTTAAGCTCACCTATTTTGAGAGTTTCTGAATTTACTAAAGAATTCTGAGAAATCTGGGCTTCATTAAAGCAATCCTGTTCTTTTTTCTCATGGAAACTTGGATGACACACATTATTACAAGTATCTTCAACAGGTGTGTTTAAGTTTGTAATCAGTGGCTGACCAGCACCTTCCACAGTTGAATTTTCTTGCTTTCCAAAGTTATCCTCAATCCCTTGATTGAGAGACACTTTGATAGACACAGCTACTTCACTGGCCTGAAGAAGAGGAGTGGTAGTAGCAGGGTTTTCCAAACCATTCGACAATGATCCATTTGCTTGCCTGAGCTCGGAAGCAGAAACCTGGTCTTGTTTGGTCACAGCTGACTCTGATTTGCTTTTATCCCAAGCATCACTTCTGTCTGCTGGTATTCCATTTTCAATGTTATTTTCTGAGGGAAGCATAGATTTTTCTTTCTCAGTTTTCTCTCCTGTGTTCTGATTCACTATGGAAGACTGAACAGAATCTCCAGATGAATTAAGATGGTCTTCAGGAGGCACCACTTTTTCAGGAGTATTGTGATCATCAAGATGCTCTTCCAGCTCACTCTGAGAACGATAAACTTTACCACAACCTATGAACTTACAAGTGTAGGTATTATAATGTTGTGCTTCATGATCATACAGTAAATAAGCTTCTGAAAAAATTCTGCCACATTTGGGAAACATGCACCTTGCTCTGAAAACTTGATGCTCCTTTCGGTGGGTTAAAAGCTCTGCATAACTATTAAAACCGGCTTTACATTTCATCTGTATACAGATATATGGTTTACTGCCACTGTGCATTTGTAAGTGATCATTGAGATGAGTGACACTTACAAAATGCCGTCTACAGTACTGGCAAATAACTTTTTTGCTTTGCATTTCAAGAAAGCGCTTGGCATCTTCATTATCCTTATGCCCCTTTACGTGAGCAACTAAATTTTTTAAGTACTTAAAGCCCTTTTTACAAAAAGTTACAGGGCAATTAAATTCATTCACAGGTACTCGTTTCTGGACTAGGATCCCTTCGGGCTCATAAGATTTATCTTTGTCATCATTCTCATCATCTGGACCATCATTTTCATTAAACACTTTGAAATCTGTTGAATAGAGACTATTCTTTTTTATAGGCCGCTGTTCCTGCTTAGTCACCGTATTAGTCTTCTGATTCTCATGGGTGGTTGTGATCTTAGGAGGCCTTCCCAATCTTCTTAATGGTTTCATAGCTGCCAGTCTCTCTTTACTAGATTGTTTAACATGTAATGTAACATGAGGGACAAACGTTTCTTTAGAATTAAAGTTTTTTGCACATATGGGGCAACTGTAAACCCCATCTTTATAATGTTTCTGGGCATGTCGTACCATTCGGTGGCCAAGGAATTCTTTGTCACATAGCACACAATACTGCATGTAGGCTTGCCAATTCCTAAACCTAGCAGATATAAATCCTCTCTCTCTTAACTGTTTTATCTCCTTCTTCTTTTGCTTTTCATCACCAATATCTTTAAGATGGCCAGAATTAGCACCAACTCCACCAGAAAGTCCATTCACAGAAGGTTCTTTATTCTCTTCCTGGTAGTCTACTACTTTTTCATATACTTCACTGTCATTTAGTTCATCAATTGCAGACACAATGGATGCTTCTTCTCCCATTAGTGCAAGACATTGTCGTTTTAAGGTTTTCCAATCCCAGAATTCTGGATCAAAGGGCCACTGAGTTTTCAGAACAAGTAGGAGCTCACAGTGCAGAGAATTTGGTATTGGAAGATTCTCTTCATCATATTTCTGGTCTGGCTGGTTATACAACATTTCCACAGCATAATACGCATCTACTGTAGGCTCAATAAGAAATTCACTCAGTTGACAAGCTCGTTTAACTTCCAGATCATCAGGCAACAAACATGAAATGGTCTTGCAAATAGATCTTTTCACTTCAGTATTTTCTGTAGCATCCAAGCGAAGAGCTTTTACACACAGTTCTATACAGGTAGCAAGTCCAGCCCCTTCAGTCTGTGAAAAAGCAAACAGGAAATGTTAATCTACACTAATCAACAGAGATTTATTTTTGAATTTAGTTCTGTGGTTTTCTCAGATCCTACAAGAGTAACATGTGAAAAGGTGTCACTCTGAAAGCTCTGCAGCTTAGTCTAAAGTTTATTGAACTGCATAGAACAGCAGGAAAAAAACCTATAAATACTGGAAGCTAAGAAAAGACCTGGGTATGATGTCATCTAATCTAGGCAATCTTGGAAGTTATTTAATTTCTCTGACTTTTCATATCCCATTTTTAAAGCAGAGGACAAAATAGTACTTTAAATTGCATAAAATCACTGCTGTGAGCATTAAGGCAGATTAAGATTTTAAAGTACCTAATACGGTTTAGTATAATGTCTGACAGTAAGTGAACAATAAATGTTTATCATAAATCTTCCCAGTTTGTACTTCTGAAACACAACCTTCCTGATCTAATTACAAAATGAGAATCTTCTCTGATTCTCTAACTTGTTACTAGTGAAAGAGGAATTTCACTCCCAGCAAAATAATTTACTTGATTTTTAATGGTGAGGACTTTACATAAATCAGAATGTGAATCACCTACCTTATGGCTGGACCAATTTAATTAGGAGTAGGAAGAGACATAGCCCAATAAATAGAATTTTCTTTTCAATTAGCATCCTGAATTCTCTTGTTAGTAGTAATGAAGGCAAGAGTCACTTGAAAGATACATGAAGAGATAAAAATAGATTTTAAAGAATAAGAAGGAAAATGGATATATGACAAGCCAGTCATAAGATATGGCCACATTTATTGCAATGGAGTATCTGCAATACAGGATCAAAAGGGAAGAAAGAACAGAAGTAAAGAAAACTGATAGGGTCTTTATTGTCACAGGAAAAGGAAATAAAATACTAAAGAAGAAGTTTAGATTTGTGGATCAAAAAAGGGAAGGAAGGCAAGGAAGATATTGAACTGGCTTTGGTTTTAGGAAAAGCAAGGGCACAAAGGTGAAGAAGATAAGACAAGACATGAAGAAACTTCTAAGTAACAAGGAAGAAAGAACAAAGAAAGAGGTGAACCATATGGATATCTCTAGTTTTCATATAAACCTATATAGTTATTCCTCTGTTATGATACACAAGACACATGGTAACGAAGTTGTACACAAGAGAGGAGAGACACAAACAAGTTTTAGAAGAATCAAAGACCAAGCCAACTACAAAGGTGATGTGAAAGGATACTGAAGTAATTCGTCAGAAAGACAGGTATAAGTACATACACTGTATAGAAGGTGAGAATTCAGGAAAGAAAGAATAAAGAAACAGATTTAAGAAAGGATTCAAAGATCAGAGAATTTTTGGAAGAAAGATATGTGTTTTGGGGAAAATAGCTTTTTGGTGACACTTTCCGTAGAAATGACAAGTTGATTCAAAAATTTATAAAACAAGACTAATTACTTCAGAGGGGCATCCCACTGATATTTCTAATCTTGTCTGCTACTGAATTCAAGGGTTCATTTCAACTTATTAAGGACAAATAGCTTTCATAAATTTGATTTTTAATACATTTCAATGTTGTAATCAAATCTGACACTGAAGCAAATAATGCCAACAAAAAAAAACTATCAAAATTCTCCTGATTTTTTATCTTTGTAAGTGTGCACTGGAAACTGAATTTGCAGGCAATATCAAATCACAGACTGACATCACAGATATGCTTTTAAAGCCGAGTTTGAATTCACAGCCATTTTCTGTACTGTGATGTGATCAAATGATTAACCTTCTTTAAGAAATCGACTTAAGCTGTAATATCAGTCAATAGAACACTGATAGCTCCAGCTTGAATTTCTGAGTCATAGAAAGATAAGTGGATGAATTCAGAAGAGGAAGAGAAATTCAGTAGTACCTTAGGAACTACGTTTTTACTTTCTGATGAAAGGAAAGTCTCTCCTTGGTACCCTCTTCCATAGACTTTTCTGTTCTTTTCTCTACTGCCTAGTATCCTTGACTAAAAACTATCCAAAGTTCTTATGTTGATTTCAGTTCTCTATGTGACATTCCATTCAGCCATTCCTTACCTACTCATAACATTGTGTCTTAACATGCTTTGAAATTCTTTAAATGGCTACGTATGAATTTCAGAATTAAGCATATAGTTAAGGTGGAATACAAAAGGGCTTGTACAGTATGACTTCTTCTCATCTGTTGTACTTTATTTTTTTCTTTCCAACCAAACAGCCAGGCAAGTTAAGCTACCTATAGTTTCCAAAATATCCCTTTCTTTCATTTGTTCTGATACCTACTACTTTACATGTCTCTTTTTCTGGGACTAAGAACTCCTTCCTCTCCCATTTTGCTTGGCCATTACTATTTAAGTACCAAAACAGAAAAGTGGGTTAGATAACCCAATGTTTTTATTCACTCAGAACCTACTTTACACCAAGCACTGTGCAACGTGCTCTCCCACGAGCCTCAACATTTCACCATACTAGAAAGGCTCATATTATACTGCAATTGTTAAGTTTTTAACTTCAAGGAATTTAAGAAAGACTGTATCCCCTTAATAAAAAGATATACCACATTACCTGCTCAATTTCTTTGCAGATCTCAATATTTAAGAGTGGGATGTGATCATTGTGTATATCTAAAATGTACCAATAAACAATCAATTTAAAAAAAAGTGGGATGTCGTGGTGCATGCCTGTAATCCCAGCACTTAGGAGGTTGAAGCAGTAGGACTGTTGTAAGTTTGAGGCCAGCCTAGGCTATACAGTGAGTTCAAGGCCAGCCTGAACCATATAATGAGACCCTAAACAAACAAACAAACAAACGCACACACATCAATTAAAGAAGAAAAAAAAACTATTATATATGAGTAGCTAGCTGATAGTCTCAATAACTTCTGGAATTCTGAAAAACCAGGGAGAACCATAACCCAAATCAGTAACCCTGAGGTTGTATTTTATCCTTTGGAAATTATCATCTAGTCATTTAGGCAACTTAAGGAACCTATACCTTAATTTTAAGGTTTCTCTGATCCTAAAACAGTTACAATCTATGATTCCAGTTTTAAGATAAACCATCACTGTGTGATCAGATTCCAGACGGTAAAAAACAAAAAGAAAAATTTCATCCAAAAGCACAGAAAATTTTAGAGGAAAAAGCAATTACTATGCTGTAGATTATCCTTGTCAGGAAGTCTGTAGCTGGTCAACTTCCCTAAGGTAGCCATGTTTCTAACTGATTTTTAAATGTGTTTTCTTTCTTTCCCCTCCCTCCCTCCCTTCCTTCCTTTCCTTTCCTTTTCTTTTTTTTGGTACCAGGGATTGAACTCGGGTCCTGTGCTTGCAAGGCAGGTGGCGGAACCACTGAGCTAAACCCTGGCCCTTTTCCTTCCTTCTGAGTACTACTCAACAAAATTGTTTATGATGATGAGAACATTTTGTGTCTGTGCTATCCAACATGGCACCTCCTTGCCATATGGAGCTACTGATCACCTAGAGGATGGCTGTCATAATGAACAGTACAGCTCCTATTCAAGCTTTTCCCCACCCTGAGAAATGGCCTGTTTATGAGCAGGGAGTAAGGTCAAAGGCAGATAGTCACTTTTACCAAATCTAGATGCATCAGATTAAGAGATGAAACCCAGAATTTAGGTTAAGGTCATGCAGTAGTCAGTAGCTAGCCAAGCTTTCTAGACAGTCTGTCTGGTTTCTAGTTCCACATCCCTTCTACTTTGCCATGTTGCTTGTTAAGTTAGATAATAAGCAGTAGCACAACCTGAATTTTAAAACTGTGTAATAATACACTAAGAAACATACTGTGTCTTTCTAGTGTATGTTTTAACTGTAGCACGATATATAAAACAAAAAATTAAGATGTATTAACAAGGTTGATAAGCACAAAAACTACAAAACAGAAGAATTTATTACTTTTTACTCCTGGCAGAAAAATTATTTCAAGATAGAAAAATAAAGATACAAGTAAGATGAATTGTCCAACTAGAGATTGTAAAAGGTAATTTTATTTATTTATTTATTTATTTATTTGGTACCAGGGATCAAACTTGGGGCTTTGCACTTGCGAGGCAGGTGGCAGAACCACTGAACTAAATCCCTGGCCCTAAAAGGTAATTTTATTTTATTTATGTACGTATGTATGTATGTATGTATTTATTTATTTAGGCAGCAGGGATCAAACTCCGGTCCTTGTGCTTGAGGCAGGTGGTGGAAACACTGAGCTAAATCCCTGGCCCTAAGGGAATTTTAAAAGGGAATATAAAATGTCTTTTGGTTTATCCTTTCAAAAAATCATACATTAATTTAAAAAAATTAATTGTCATACTGAATCCTCATTTCTAGATTCTATGTAATGATGACAACTTTGGAAGAGACTTTTGGTATACATGGAAATAGAAAAGCTCCATTCTTATAAGAGTTCCTACAAAAACAAAACAAAACAAAATTAAAAACAAATTTGGGCTGGCGGTGTAGCTCAGAGGTAGAGCTTTTGTTTAGCATGAGCAAGACCCTGGGTTTTATCCTCAAAGACAGAAATTTATAAAACAAAAATCAGTAACTTAGCTTGGATTCTGATAATAAATGAGTACACACGCAATCTCTGCTCATCAATTCCCTCTTCAGTTGTGATACATTACCTATATAATCCATCTACTGTTTTTTATTTCAATTACTATGCATTTATACTTCAAAAGTCTTTTTGATTAAAAAACCTGCTTGATCATTTTGATGTCTTTCTCATGCTTTAGTTCCTTACTTTTGTCTTTATATGTATTTTATAGGTTCATATGTAATTATATTATTTTAAAGGATTAGGCAAATAATTGTAGTAGCGGTCCACATTTTGTAAACCTTGGTGGTAAACACATCTTTAAGCAGGGCTTTATCTATGAGAATCCTGTATTGACCTTATGTCCCTCCAAAGCAGTTCTGCATTTACTTCTGTAGTAAATCCTAGGGTTATTACCAACCCAGGATTCCACCCTAATCTTCTTAAACATTACTTACCTGTCAGGGGGAATTTCTAAACTACATTGCTAAGATATATTTGGCCTCCATCTATACACAAAGCCACAAGAGACAGATATAACATTATGACTTCTTAGAGAAAAGATTTTCCTCCTCTGATCCAGAGTCCAGTTGGACATATATGATGTTCTCTATCGTCTATCAGTGTTCAAGAGTATTACCTGTTTAGTCTTTTTCAATGAAGTTATGGTACTTCACATGTACAGCTTTGTGTGTGAATGAGTAGGACAAATGAGGTCCAAGATCTAACTCCCCAACTTGAGAAAGCATAAGTCTTTATCTCTGATTTTTATATAGCTATCTTTTACCCTACTCAGTTGCCGTAAGAACCAACAAATCTTAATCTCTAGTAGGCTAGGCAATTAATCATTTTATGCTTTCAGTTCCAGTTTTTAGGTTCTTCTTCATTTTGAACCCTAGAGATTTTACTGATAATTCTTAGACAATCTCAGGTGCTTAAAAAAAGATATTTTATCAAATACTTGTGGCTGTTCTGTATTAGACTGGTTTTTACAGAATGTAATCTGCCCGACTGCTAGCAACAAAATCTATTTCTATATTGCTCTTTATTCTTTCTAAGTTTCCAAAGAGCCAGATTATCAAAGTAGTATAACAACTAGGAGTAAAACTGAAGAGTGAAAAAAAAATGCATATATTAAGTATATTACTTTCCTATAGGCTAAAAGCAGATCCTTTGTTCTCAATTGCATTTTAAAGTTTTTCTGGATCAAATGTTTTAAAGGATTAATAAGAAAATTAATGTCTAAAGCATTCAATGAAAGAAAAAAAAATCACTGAAAGAAGTGCCAAAATAATAATAAAAGTTAAGGTCTTTTGTTAAAGATGATTTATGCATTTTAAATTAAGAAAAGATATCTTGAGTATCTTACCTCTGAATTAATAACTTTAATCAGGAAGAAAATATGATATACAGTCTTCGTTAACAAAGAAAGTTGCCGGCACCTCTCTAGGTACACTTGCACAGATGGTTCTACCCTTTGCTGTAATTTACTCCAAAAGAGAGTAAGTTCCCTTAAAAAAACAAAACAAAAGGTTTAAAAGATAAGTTGGAGTAGTAATGTAATAATCATGGACTATGGCGGTCCAGTCATTACATTTGAAATTAAAGCTTGCTTCAGATTTCAATTCTATATGTGGAATTAAGTTTAAAAGCAATAGATCCCTCCCAATTTTCTAAAGATAAAATAAAATCAGGATATAAGTTTCAATATTTTTCAATCCCAGAGTAACATCATCTTTTAGCTAAGAACTTAATATTTAAACAGGTTATAAAATGGTAACTTTGAGCTACATGTGAACTTTTAATTATGCAATATGTGCCTTTATATGTATAACACATCAATGATATGGTTTTTTTAAAAAAGCATTTATGTAGGATTAGGGGGTGTAGCTCAGTGGTAGAGTAACTGCTTAGCATGCATGAGGTACTGGGATATATCCCATCATTGTGTGTGGGAAAGAGCACCATTTATCTTCTAACAAATTTAAAGTCAACCAATAAGATTATTGTTATTAGATAAATAAAACATAAAAGAAATGGTGATGAGAGGTGGAGGTTTAACTCAGTGATAGAGCACTTGTGTAGCACTGGTCTCAACCCTAGCCCCACAAAACCAAAAACCAAAAAACCAAAAAAACCCCAAAAACCCTCTGAAAAACAAAACAAAAACAATGACGACACAGTTCCCCCAAGGAAGAAACCAATCTGTGCCGCAGCAGTTAAACAATAGATACTTTGAAAAATAAAATCAACTGGAATGTATTTCAAATGCAGTAACAATACTGTATTGTCAAAGAAAATAATCTGGCTAAAGTGATCAGTTTGTCACCCTTTTGCTTATTGTATTTCTCTTCTGTACTTCATAGTTAATTTTCATAAAAAGCTTCCTTGCTTCACTGTTTTTATCAAGTATTCTCCTCAATACAGGCCTTTCCTATTAATTTTCCTCAGTTTCCACTCCTAGGAACTCTGACCTTTTCAACATCTACTTGAATACAGTGGTACCTCAATTCACAAACTTAATTTGTTCTACAATTTTGGAAAAGACAGCCACCTTTATGTTTGTGTGAGGAAGATGCCCACAGCCATGTTTGTCACCCAATGCAGTTTACAAACAAAACAAATTTTGCCAAATGCTTATTTGCAAATCATTGCAAACAAAAGCATCTGTGAACAAAGGTACCAATGTAATTTGCTCATTTCCTGAAATTTAACATACATATTGAGGACTTCAAAATCCCTTTCTCATGAGGTGTGATGGTGCACACCTGTGATCCTGGCACTACTGAATGGTAAGGCAGGAGGACTCTATGTTTAAGCCTACATTACCCAATTCAGCAACTTAGTGAAACCCCATTTCAGAATAAAAAATTAAAAATGGCTGAGAATGTAGCTCAGCATGAAAGTCCTGGGTTCAATACCTAGTACCACTAAACAGAGACATGAATAAATTTTTAAAAATATGTTTCTCTAGTCTTGATTACTTTCCTGTCTCCTACGTTATTTATAAGAATTCTTCACTTTGATCTCTTCTGAAACCTGAGACCTAGAACAGTATAGCCATACATCCTATAATGATGTCTCTCCATCAACTACAGGCCACATATAGGACAGTGGTTCAATAAGATTATATATACCTAGTGATGTCACACCACTATAGACTTTTTAGTTAATGAAAGTATACTCTATGATATTTGCATAATGAAGAAATCATTTCTAACCATGCATTTTTCAAAATGTATCCTGTCACTAAGCAAATGTAAGTGTATGGTATATGAAAAGGCTGTTTGCCATTCTTTTTAGTTTACCACCTTTCATTTAATGTATCACTCTTTTTAACATCCTCAAGTGGTATCTCTGGCATTTCTTTCACTTCATGTCACATCCATATGGAAGCTTTTGTTACTTCCCAGCCAGACTATTTAGTAGCTTTGTAGCTGATTTTTCTCACTTCTGCACTGCCATTTCTTTTCTCCTATCTTCCCTCACTATTCTTCAATCAATTTTCAACTGCTTAAGTGTTTCTTAAACTTCTATGTTGCCTTTTTGAGTTAAAATAGACTGCTTTTGCATATCACAAAGAATTCAAACTTTAACTTTTAAAATTAATGAATATATTTTTAAACCAATATAACACATTGACTTAAGTGTTATCACTGATTTTCATGCTATATTCTGTATTATACCTAATCTACTTGTCTTTGATAAATACTTATTATCCCTTTCAGAATCTTTCTACTTGCCTTTTGTATCAATCTTCTATAATGCATATATAATTTTCCCTTCATAACAAGTTCAACTGCTCACTGATAATTAACTTTAACTTTTCATTACACAATCATTTATTTGTTGTTCTATATTCATTTTTCATGCCATGTATCACTTGGTACATATTCTTAAATGTCAGTATGTTATACACCAAATTTTCTTTTGTGTTTCTACAATACCAACACAACACTAAAGACTAAGAATGTTTCTGACTGATCATGTAAACTATCAGTCCTGGCTAACACTAATCCAAGGCAGCAGGTCTTAAGTTTTTTAAATTAACTGAAGTCAACATCTCTGTTACTTATAGCTTCCCAAAAGAGTATATGTATATAAGTTTTCCCCAGTTGGAAATGTGCCATATACAAGGAAGTATGCACTGAAGGAGAACCCTGAAGAAGTTAAGGAGGTGGAATGATTTTTCATAGAAAGAAAATGAATTATAGGTCCATATAAGTGATAGCAGGTAGTTAAGTAGCTAAAAATATGCAGAGGAAAAAACACAGATTAAAAATCACAGGTAGGTCACATAGCTGAAAAAATTTTTGTGGTGGCATTAGACGAAATGAACTTTTCTTTCATCTTCCAACTTTTAGAAATTTGTTGACTAGATGGCCATCATGATATGCTTGCCAAAAAATTGTGTGGTCAATAATTCAAAAAGTTTTAAAATTTAAACATGAATTATGTAACAATTAATTTGTATAGCATGTAGTATCTGAAAATCAGCTTTTTGCTATGTTAGTAAGACTTAAATATATACAAAAATACTAAGCTATCTGAATTACCAAAAACCTATTTTGTATTTTTATTTAACAAATTGTCCTTTAAAAAATAAAAATCAACTCACCAAGCACAGTACATATCTCCTTGTTGGAGCTGACGTGATAAAAATGCAGTACATAAAACAAGAGCATTTTTTTCATCACCTTCAGATTCTAAGTTACAGATCATTTCTAGAGCATCTTTGCAATCAACTTCCGAAATCTAAAGAAAACAGAAATATTCTATAAAATGGCTTTATCTTAGAATATACCTGTAGTATATACTTAAAATTTTTCATTACAGTTCTATAAATAATTTTCATGAGTAAAATGTCTTTGACTCAAACTATCAAATCATAATTGGTCATTAATGCAACAAAGACTGGGTTGTAGTTAAAAAAATCTTTCTTCATAACTAGTAAAAATTAATGATCATTCTGAGAGAATATTAAACACAGGAAAACCAACTATTTTCAAGAAATTACATACGTTCAGTAAATAATGTTAATTAAATATCCTTTATTCATTAAATCAGATACATGCTAATGAAAAAAAAATCAAAACAGCAGTACTTTTACCTCTCTTATCCACTGATTTAAAACGAAGGAGAATCAGCAGAAAAATAGTTATTCTGAGTTCAGACTAATAAACTAAGTGTCTGAGGGGGGAAATATAAAACACTTTAAATTGCTATATCACTTTTAAAATAAGCTAACTTTAATTTTCTATAAATCTTCACTATTTTGCTTTTCATATAAATTTATTCCATTTCCAGCAGTCACGCATGTGTACTATATATAAAGTAGATGAAGGCAACTTGGTTCATTTAATGATACCCTCACATCTTATTATAAAATTAGTACTATCTCATTATAATAATATATTACTTAAAACAAAGAGAATTAACCTACAACCTCTGCAAACATTTGCTATGAGACAAAGAATGAGATACAGGGTATACAATCACAAATCACCTGTGTTCCACAGACAGAAGGCTTAATTCCAATATGGTACAATTGACAGATGGCAAAAAGAACTAAACACCAAACACAGACATTAGCACCTACGTCCCTTCCAGTTGATCTCTTTCTCATCAAATACTAGGTAAACAAAAGTGTATATGTAAAATGTAATGTGTTTAGGATAGAAGAACTGTCTAAATAGATGATGGGGATAATCTTAGGTTAATCTTTGATAATAAAGATAAAAGCTGTGTGACAACAAATTCAGAGGTTCCTTTTTTTTTTTTTTAACATGAAACTGGGTTAGAAAACACCGAGCCAAGAAAATACCAAACTTTGTGTTTATATGATTAATATTAATTTCTTAAAGGAAGTATGATGTTAGTGCCAGAGTTGGTACATCTTGGTACAGTGCTCTTTCCACTACTCCTGTCACCACTTTCTAACAAATCTTTTTCTAGAAGTGACTCCATTTAAACAAATAAAGATGGGAGGAACCAGGCATAGTGGCACACCTGTGATCCCAGCACTTTTGAAAGATGAGGCAGGAGGATCACAAGTTGGAGTACAGCCTGAGCAACTTAGTAACTCAGTGAGCCCTTGATTCAAAATGTATTTTAATAAAAGGCCTGAGGATGTACACCTCAGTGTAAAGGCCCTGGATTCAATCTCCAGTACTCTGTGTGTGTGTGTGTGGGGGCTATTATTTATACAATATTTAAACGTGTCTATAATATGTTAAACATATTGCCAGATATTTTATACATATTATTATTTCACCAGAGCTTTCCCATTAGGTCTGTATTATTAACATTTTATATATAACAAACATGGGATTCAAAACTGGTATACAATGTGCTCAATTTACAATAGTTAAATGGTGGAGCCAAACATCAAATCATGCCTGACAGACATCAAAGACCCATGCTCTTGCCACTTCATCACATTACCTTGTAACAGAAGCTGTATTAAATTTAAACAATTACCCTAAACCACACATGCAGACAAATATAGTAAACCCATGAGATTTTTCCACTTATTTCATAAGATGTGAATAACAGTAACAATAGCTATTATTACTACCACCTTCTTCAAAAATAGCATTGTCAATCCACACAAGAGCTTGCCAGGTAGGTACTATTACAGGAATGTTCCTTCTTCAAACTACTTGAGACCAGAAGTGTTCTACATTTTGGAATATATCTATATCTATATCCTTCTATATCTATTTTGTGATTGGGACCCAAATCTAAACACTAAATTTCTTTATTTTCATATATACTTTATATGTATAGCCTGAAGGTAATTTTATACAATATTTTTATGCATTTCTGTTTTGACTATGACCTGCAGGGTCAGATGTGGAATTTTCCACTTTTGTGTTATGTTGGTGTTTTAAAAGTTACAGATTTTAGACCATTTTAGATTTGAAATTGTTTTATTGGGATGCTCAAGTTATACTTCTCAGAAAAAGGCTCAGAGAGGTTAAATTACTTGAAAGTTACACAGTGGCAGAATAAAGATTTCAATACAGGATTACTCAGTCTGTACTCTTTCCAGAATTCCATTTGCACAAGCATATCAAGTCTCTATATTGCTAAATATGATATATGCTTGTTTACTTGAAAGTGAGATTTGCTTTGAATAAAATAATTGTTCCTTTTTTTTTTTTTAGTACTAGGGATCGAACTTGGGTCCTTGCGCTTGCGAGGCAGGCGGTGGAGCCACTGAGTTAAATCCCCAGCCCTGTTGTTCTTCTAAAACCTGAGCCCTTCCTGTAGAATGCTCACGATACTAAATGTATATATTATTTACAAGAAAAGATATTTCCTCAATGAAATTACTCTCATTAGCTTACTCAATATTTAAAAATATGTATTTCCCTGCATGTGTGATCATCTATAAGTATCTGTATTCACCCACATCTATGCAATATATCAACTGAAATATCTGCTACATTCAAATGTAAGACAACTTCTTTTATAGACATACTAACAAAATAATTTTCAGAGTGCATTTGAGAGTGTTCACTTACTGATTTGCCATGAGATGGCTCTCTTGGAAAAATAGGATAAAAATAATGGTAGAAACAATCAGATCATATTTTAGATAATGACTGGATTAAAAATTATGAAAAGTAAGGGCCAGGGATTTAACTCAGTGGTGCCACTGCCTGCCTTGCAAGCACAAGGTCCTGAGTTCGATCCTCAGTACCAAAAAACCCCCCAACCCCCCCCCCAAATTATGAAAAGTAAAAATAGCCATCAATAAACAAGAATTATTTTAAAAATCCAAGGCAGTATAATTCAGAGTTAATCAGTATATTACCTATGTAAGAACTATCTATTCTCTATTGTTTTGAAAAGTGAACAAAATTTTAACAGCAGAATATTTATAACTCTGATCAAAATATTTAAAACCAGGGTCAGGGATTTAGCTCAGTGGTTCAGCTGCCTGCCTGGCAAGCGCAAGGATCAGAGTTCAATCCCTGGTACCAAAAAAAAAAAAAATTAAAACCAAATGGAATGATCTATGTGTTAAAGAAATATTCTGTTGAATCCCTTGTAAAGCAGAAAAATTAAAGATGCAAATAATTTTTAGGTTTTAATATGGCTCTTTAAATCAAGTATTCAAAGACATAAAACACTGTCAATATGTTATATGCTTACAAAGTGTACTTTTAAAATGTATTGGTTCTAATCACTAAAATGTACTGGTTCTAATCACACTTCAAGAATAATTTCAAGAGTATGAAATTCACTTATCAAAATAAAACTGCCTTTCATATAGAAAAATACTTAAATGGTAAATCTATCATTACTGAGAAAATGTAAAAATGAAGCAATGAGCTATTATTTAACACAGACTACCAAATATTTAAAAGGACTAATAATTTCTAGTGTTAGAAAAGAAGAAATTTCATATACTATTTTTTGGGAGCATATAGTCTAGCCCTATCCACTTAAAATGCATAGATTCTTTGATCCAGTAATTTTACTTCCAGAAATTTACTCTATCAGTATACTACCAGCAAGGATACAAGAATGCATGTACAAGACAACAACTGAAGCATCTGTCACTCTGGTTAAAAATAATTACAAATCCATACTGTGGAATTATGTAGCCATGGGAAAAGAACGAGGTTGATCTATATGGAGGGAAAAAATGTCAATAAGGATGAGGAAAGTGACTAGTAGTCAGGGTATGTCTATGTGGTTTTTCAATGTACAAAAATATGTGTATATGCACAGAAAAATGTAAGAAAGCTTATATATCAAATTTCAAACTTAATTACTGTATTACCTCAGGAAGTATTAAATGAGAAAATGATGATTAGAGAGAGATGAGAAAGGATTTTAAGTTTATTTTAAAGATTAAAACCAACAAAAATACTGGATCTAAAGTAAACACTGCCAACCTACATCAAGAATTCAAGCCAGGCCGGGGATTTAGCTCAGTGGTTTCGTCGCCTGCTGCGCAAGCACAAGGACCCGAGTTCGAGCCCGGTACCAAAAAAAAAAAAAAGAATTCAAGCCAAAGCTCATTCCTTCCAAAGAAGCCAGATAGATGATCACTCATCTCTCCTAGCACCATTCCTCTGACATCTAAGTATAGCTGTCTGCTTGCCTACTGGCTCAACTGGACAAGGATTTCTCAGAAGTACCATTAATTCAGGCCACGGCTGACTCCTAACAAAGCCTATTCCAATTGTCCTCTAAAGAATAGGTTAAAAACTCAACTGCTTAACAAAAATCAGGGAAAAATAAATGAACAAAAGACAGAGATAAGGTGAGAGAGAGAGAGACTGAGAATGTATGTCTCAAGCATATCCCTACTGAAAGGGGTAACAAATTGGGCACTGTGGGGCAGATATAATAGGTAGGCCTTGGTGACCTAAATTAGCTAAAAAAGATCTGGAAGTAGTCTGAAATCAGATAAAACTGAAATTATGGCCAAAATAATGCCAAGTATAAATATCCTACTAAACTGTTAGGCCATCAACACCTCTCCTTTAATATAATCAAAGTGTTTAAAAGATCCCATTTTTTAAAAGAGAAGTCAAGTGCAATCAGTTTATATATAATTCTGAAAGCTGCTTAGAATCAAGTTGCCACCATCCAGGAGCATATCAAAACTGTAAGAGTGACAATGGTCCCTTATTTATAAGAAAGGGAACTCAAAAACATCCTAATCTAATTAAAATTAATCTATTTAAAAAAATTACTAACAAAGAAATATACTTACCTCTTCGATTAACTTCTCATTTGGTGATGATGTGCAAAGACAGACAAGGTAAGTTTGCTTAAGACTACCTTTTGTACCAATCTCTGGATGATCAGAACACAG